GGCTGGGGAGGAGACTTTCGGGAGGGGAAGTGACTGATTCATGTGATGGCTCACAGCCTGTGATTGAGGCGCTGAGGGGGGAGGTGATTAAATCTGGGATTTCCAGGATATGTAACTGCGTGGACGTGCCAAGCAGCTGTGTGGCAAACCATTTCTCTGCATTTCATTTCTTACTCCAGCCCCACCTGATGAGTCAAGACCTTCCTGAGGACTGGGACAAGCAGCCTGTCAAAGTTCTAGTTGGGAAGAACTTTGAAGAAGTTGCTTTTGATGAGAATAAGAATGTCTTTGTAGAGTTCTGTAAGTATCTCTCAGCAGCTGACTCCAAGTAGCTGGCATGAAAGGAGAGCCAGAAGGCTGCATGACTGGGATTAGGGAGAAAGCATCTTATGGAATCTAAGCGAGAGGGCCTTGGTTGAAGAAATGTGTGTGAGCTGTCTGGGGTGGGGTAACTTGTTTTTTTGTTGGTGCTAGTGATGTTTTTGTAATTACCAGATGCCCCCTGGTGTGGTCACTGCAAGCAGCTGGCTCCAATCTGGGACAAGCTGGGAGAGACCTACAGGGACCATGAGAACATTGTCATTGCCAAGATGGATTCAACAGCCAATGAAGTGGAGACAGTGAAAATCCACAGCTTCCCCACACTCAAGTTCTTCCCTGCAGGCTCTGGCAGAAACGTAAGGAGGCAGCTGACCTTCATATAGATCACACAACAAGGGAGTGCTGGAGACGTGTAGTTGCTTGCTTGAGTTCTGTTTGGGATGAGGCCTTTGGGAGGGCTCTCCATTCTGTAGGGCTGGAACACATCAAGTCCCCAGGACACCTGAGAGGCTCTGGGGTGGGGCTGGGCTGTAGGAGAGAGTTTGGTGGGGTTGGGAAGCGGGAATGGGGGAAAAGAGGGAGCATCGCAGAGGACAGTGTGCTCATCTGCAGGCTATTCTTTCCTCGCAGTGATCTCTGAAGTCTAGTGGCTGAGCTGTTTTCCTTCGTCTCATATGGGTGAAGGTGAATTTTTAAATTCCCTTTTGCTTGGCATGTTGACTGTTGCTCAGAAAGAGAATTCTCCTCTCCAGGGGCGTGGTTCTGTAGGTGCCCATAACCATTATCTCGATGCTTTTTCCTGTGTAGGTGATTGACTACAATGGGGAGAGGACGCTAGAAGGCTTCAAGAAGTTCTTGGAGAGCGGAGGCCAGGATGGGGCAGCAGCTGATGATGTGAGTAATATTAATACAGGACTCAGGGCCTTCAGAATATGGAGTGTGGGTTGGGTCTGGTGCTCTCTCTGCTGGAATCCTCAGTCCTAAATAAGATCCTGGGCTGTTGTGTGGCGGGAAAGGATATTACAGGTGAACAAACGTGCCCACCTGGTTAAATGTGACCTGTTCAGTTGCTGCCTGGCTGGCCATTGGCCTGTAACAGACTCCTTTTATTGAGAGCACTTCAGCTGGGTGTGAAATAAATGTTCTTGGGAGGCTTAAACACAAAGGCATGGAAACTGTTGATATTATAACCAGCACAAGCTGTCTCTGGTTGTCTGTGAACTGGAGTACTTAGAGGGCTTGTTCTTTGAGAGCTCCTGCCCAGCACCTGGAGCTGAGCAGGATGATGAATGTTACACCCTGGGGCAGAGGGTGTTACAGGTACCACCTTCCAGGGATTTCTGATCCTCAGTGTCCCAAAGAGCTCCTGGTTAGAAGTCTCTGCATGTTTTGGTAACATGGCAGCAGAGAGCAGTGAACAGATCAAAGATGCTGTTCTGTGCTTGGGTTTGGATCTGCCTGATATGCCAGAAACCAGTAGCTGTCTCTAACCCATACAGGATCTGGAGGACCTGGAGACGGATGAAGAAACAGACCTTGAGGAAGGTGAGGATGATGAGCAGAAACTCCAAAAGGATGAATTGTAAAGAGAAGATTGATCTACATCACCCAAAAAATCAGACACTAAATTGGCTGCTGTTATGCAGCCCAGTGAGTCAGAAACCCATTAAGATTTAAAGCAGAAGGTGAATGACTGGAAATCCAGGGATTGGCTTTTAAAATAACACTTTACCCTCACTTTTCTGTACACTCGACTATCTTTTCTTTTCTTCTTTGCTTTTGAGAAGGGATCTGTCACTAGGTAGCCAGCCCAGCCAGCTGGGCTAATTTTTTTTTATTGTGATGTACTTTTTTTGTACACAGCTTTTGTTTGAAGTATTCTGTTCTTCTGGGTAGAAGCAGATTGTGAAGCGGTAGCACAAGTTCAATGGCCCAACATCCTGGAGCCTTGCCACTAACATCTTCCAAGAAAGCTTTTTGGTTGTTTTTTTTCCTTTTTTTTTTTCTTTTTAAACTAAAGCCCATAGTTAATTTCTGCACCTGGCAGGGTCCTTAATAGTCTCAGCTGTTCTTCCCTGGGATCAGCCTTCAGTACATGTAGGGGCAGAGGCAGTAGCTGGTGGTGTCATCCTGGTGAAAGGTGTACATGAAGCTGCTCCTCTTCATGCTGGCCAGATGTTTCCTTTTCCCTCTGCTTTAAAACACTTGGAGATGATGATTCCAAACACGGGGAAGGGTGGGACACTGTGTGCACTGGCTGTGGCAGGCTCTTGGGGGCGGAGGTGGTCGCTGGCTCAACAGCTTAGGTGGGACCTTGCTGTGTTGCCATCCTTTCGATCAAATGCAAGACTGTTTTGCAATCACTTTCCATGCGTTATTTTGAATGGGTTGACCAGGCAGGTGGGTGGTGTGGGAGGGCCTGATAAAACAGATCAAACAGGACATTTGCAATTTACTGGGTTTTGGGGAGGAACTTGGAACAGGGGAGTGCCTCAAAGGCCTGAGCTGCATCAGGCTGTTCTTAGCATTCCGCTACAATAACATTGGAACTGAATTTGTTGGCCAAATAAAGTTGAGATTTTAATACTATTATGTTTCCCTGTCTTTGTCAGAATAGGGGATGGATGTATTTGAACCTGACCCCAAAGAGGAGCAGAGTTCTAGGGTGGTTCTCAAGGGACTCAGCCAAAATGGTTTGTCAGCCTCCTTGAACTTTCACTAAATACCACATTTTTGAGAGAAACTATACTTTCTGAACGCTTTCAGTTTTACAAGTGGCTTCTGGTGTCTTAACCTGAAGAAATATTTGGATTGTGTGACCTATGAAGGGAAAGAACAAGGTGACCACATTGTGTCCAGGTTAAATCAGCTTGTGCAGGCAGACAATTAACAGCTCCGTGAGCAGCGAGCGCACACTGGCCCGGGTTCTGAGAAGAGGGGGCTCTGTTTGCCAGCTGGCCCGGGGCAAGGGGGCCTGGTTGCTCTGGAACAGTTGAGGAGGAATTTGCCTGGAGGGAGACCTGGGGCTGCTCGTCAGCCTCACATGACCCCCTGAGCTACACTGCTATTTCCAAACCAGTCACTTACTGCTGGAACTATGTTTGTAAGAAAATATGCTATAAATGTCACATGGAGGGGGGGGCATGGTGAAGCTAGAGGGCAACTGAGGAGGCTACTGGTGCCTGTCACTGTAGGTGTGCTGGGGTGGTAGAAAAGGGGTGTTACCAGAGCCCCATCCTGGTGGGGTGTGCACAGACCTTCACCCCAGCAGCTCCTCTCCTGGGGCTGAGCAGGTGATCGCAAACCCTGTGATCTAAAAACCAAGTTTGCTCTTGCCTGTCCTGTTAGGGATCAGTCATGTTTGACTGTTACCTGTGGTTATGGGGAGAAGGATCTTTGAAGATGCCTCCCCCTGGGGCTGTGACCCCACACTGCTGGAGGCAGGGGGTCCATAGTGTGCCCAACTGCCTTGTCCTACCCTGGCAGCGCTGGTGGCCGCTGTCAGGGCTGGTTAGTGGTGGCTGCTCCGAGTAAGAAAGCTGCCTTATGTTTTGTGGTGGGGAGGAAGAGAGCAGTGCTAAGAAGCTCCACTGGAAGGTGCTGGTTAGGGCTTGGCTCAAAAAGGCCTGTTTTGTGGAGACAAACTGTAAACAAGGCAGTGGTTCTCCCCTGTTTACGGTCTGAGACCTGCCCTGCTCCGCTCAGAGGAGGGGGCTCTCCTCGTAGTCCGAGGCTGCTCTTGGCAGAGCAGGACTCCGTCGGAGTCATCTTGTGTACACAGCTAATTGCTGTTCCAAGAACTAAGAGCTAAAAGCGTTCTGTCTCCGCCGCAGAGAGCTCAGCCTTCTATTGAACCGCTCTGGCTGACGTGCCGCCGAGCGGGGATGCTCAGCGGAAAGATCAATGCGTTTGCCAGAAGAAGAGCGCAGCAGGCGGTGCTCGGGTCGTGGCTGGCCGGGGTTCAGGACAGGGGTCTGCTGCAGAAGGGGGCAGAGTGAAATCCCTGTGACTCCTGATGCGGGACAGGGATTTCTTTTTTTCCTGCTGTACCACAGGGGAGCTCATTGTCCTGCCTGGACAATGCCTACCAACACAAACCAGAGCACAATATGCTCGTGTGTCTGAAATGACCAAACGTTGATGGGGGGGAAAAAAGGATAGAGGAGCAGTTGTTGCTTGAACCCTTGGCAAATCTGAAAGATTCCTCTGTGTAAATGGTCCACGTTGGGCCTTTAACAGCTACAGCTGGCCAGGAGTGGTCTGGTGGTGGTGCTATTCTTCAGCTATTCTTCTGAGGCTGTTCTGTAGAAGCCTGCCCTTACAGGCAGCTGGTTCTGAGCTGGAAGTAGGGCGTTGAACACCATGGACTGGCATTAAAGGCTCCTGCATCGGGAGCGCCCACAGCACCTCTGTCCTCGCAAGGGCACTGATAATCTCCAACATGGTGGTGTTCTCCGTGTTTAGCTGTGCGCTATTCCGCAGCCGTGCCGGGCAGCACAGCTCATTCGGCTCCTTTCAGGTCGTCTGATGCAACTGCAGGAGAGTGACTTCGCTCCGAATGTATTTGGCACCGCGGCTCTGACACGTCTGCACTGCGCTGGCAGGTTGGTAGGAGAGCGGCTGGTTCCATTCGCACGGTGGCCGTGCACGTCTCTTCCCTGGCACGTGTGCGTGTGAGAGGGCTTGTTGCTGGGAAGGTCTGTTCTCAGGCTCTTGGGCTCCTCTGAAGGGCTGCCCATGCAAAAGCAAGAGTAGCTTTGACCCCTTGGATGGGCACATCAACAGGTGGGTGGTAAGATGAGACACCAACTTCTGCCCAAAAGTGGGAGGCTGCGGGCCTGGGCGGCTCGATTACAAAATATCATGGCAAATAGGATGAGCTGCATGTCCTCAAAATAGCCCACAGGAGCCTATATAACGCGACGCCTCTGGAGAACCATCAGTCCTGGGCCAAGGGCCTGTGTGTGCCCAGTGCCACCTCCTGTGTGCGGCACGGGAGTGCAGGGAGAGCCAGCGAGGGGGACCGGCACTGCTGGGGACACGGGCACAGCCACAGGCGTGGAGGGAGCAGAGCTCTGTGGGTGCCATCAACCCTCCACAGCGAGGAGGAACCTGTTGGGCAGAAGAGAAGGCAGTGCTTGGCGGCCAGCGGGTCATAGAGCCAAGCACTGAGTGACTCCAGCTGCTCCTGCATCACCCCATGCCCCTGCTCCTCCTCTTCCTCCGCAGCGTCTGAAGGCTGCCATCAGCATGAAGGACTATTGCCCAGTCTCAATGCCCCGGTACAGTCGGTACAGCCAGAGACTGAGAGCCTCGCGCACTGTGCACTTCCCCAACGATGTCGTCTTCCAGGACCACATCAGGCAGGGGGACCTGGAGCAGGTGGGCAGATTCATTCGTGCCAGGAAGGTGACGCTGGACACCATCTACCCTTCTGGTGAGTGCTGGCAGAGCTGCAGTCTGTGTGGTGGCACGGCTCAGTTGGGCTGCAAGAGAGACCAGAGAGCACTGTGTGGCCAAAGCTAGGATGAGGGCCACCTTCAGTAAGGTGACAGGTTGGAATAGAGTCGTTTTCCTCCTTGGCAAGAAGTAGTACCCCCAACATTGCGCAGCAGGGCCCAAGAAAGCCCCACACCAGCCTCCCAACATCTTCCCTCGACAGCGTGGCCAGCCTGGGGAGGCTTAACCCTGGGTACCTTCAAGGCATGACCATGCAGCTGCAGCGTGGTGCAACCTAGAAAAGGAGTCGCGGGCACGGGCTGGTCTGTGGAGCTCTGGATGGGAAAGTGGGGCTCCTGCCTTCGCCCCAGCTTGGGGGGAACAGCAGGGAGGAGGAAGGCTCCTCGTTTGGTTCCTAGCTCTGTCTGTTTCTCCACTCTTCTCTCTCACACGTGTGGATCTGTGGACTTGTGGCATTTATGTCTGTGGGGAAGGCATTATGTTGTGTTTGCACCCAACCTCACTCGCAACTGTTTATGGAATGCCTCGATCCGAAATGTCTGGGGCAAAGCCCAGATCTGTCCCTTTCTTGTGCTTGGCTTCAGCTTCTGCTGTCATGCGGCCACGGAGGTGGGGTCTCAGATGACCCCAGGCTCCCTCCTATCTATACTGATTGCTTCATTACTTGCTCTGTAGGGAGCTTCTGAAACTTGGACAGAGCAGGACCCCAGAGACACGCTCCTCCTGTCCCCACGTGAGTCCCAGCTGGGGCTCAGGGCAGGAGAGGGCAGCTCCTCCTCCTGTCATCAGTCCTGCCCGGCCCAATGGGGAAGGGCCACTGTGCCACCTTAGACAGGGTATTCGTGCTATAGGAGGGGAACAGAACCCTGTAGCGGCTCCTCTTGCTTCCTCACTCTCTGTTTCTTTCCCCAGACTCATCTCCCTGTAACAAGGGATTTGCTGGCAACCCTCTTTCCTGGGCTGTGGATAACTGGCACATGCCAGTCCCGGGCTAATAAACCTTTTCCTTCCATGCCCTTCCAGGCATGGCCGCCCTCCATGAAGCTGTGCTTACTGGAAACCTGGACTGTGTCAAGCTCCTGGTTAAATACGGCGCTGACATCCACCAGAGAGATGAGAACGGCTGGACGCCCCTGCACATGGCCTGCAGCGACGGCTATGCCGACATAGCCAGGTGAGCAGCGCCCGGCCTGGGCTGTGACGGGGGCACCCCTGGGCTTTGGGGCCCTGATATCCAGAGCTGACAGGGCCGGGGCTGTGGGGTCTGCTCCCGGGAGGGTGCCTGGTACCCACGGGGCCGCCTGGGCCCTACAGCTCCCGGGGCCTGCGGCCCCGTACTCAGCGCCGTGTCTCCCGCAGGTACCTCATCTCCCTCGGGGCCAGCCCGGAGGCCACCACCGACGCCGGGGAGAAGCCCTCGGACCTCATCGACCCCGAGTACAGGGACCTGGTGGAGCTCTTCCAGGCCGCCGCCATGAGCTGAGGGCGGGGCGGGGCCGGGGCGAGGAGCAGGCCTCGGGGCGCCGGGGCGGCGGGGCTGCACCGGGCCCGAGGGCCGAGGCCTGGGCTGGGCCTGGGCTGGCGGCCGGGCGGGGGGGGGGGCGCGCTCGGGACCGCGGCCCGGGGACCACCTTGTACTTTTCCCATA